AGAAGAAGAAGAAGAAGAAGAAGAAGGGCGCCTCACTCTAGCAAGGACTAGGGAGGAGGAATCCTCCTCTTGCCTTTTTTTCCTGATTGGTCTCCCAACCTGCTATTCATTGGTCATTCGGTGCTTGTCTATTTCACCTGCTTTTTATTAGTAACCCCCCTCCCCTTTCTCCTTTGCCAGCCACTTCTAAAGGTGGTTTTAGATGTCTGTAATTTCTCATTTGAACTAAGCGTTCTGGATCCAGTCGTTCCTCAAGGTTGCAGGGTGGCGCAAAGGAACGATGAAGTTCTGCATCCGTGTGAATGATCTCATTGAAAGAAGCGTGCTAGACAATTCTTCTAATCGTTGGTTGTTGTGGGGTTTTCGGGCTTCTTGGCCGTGTTCTGAAGAACACGGCCAAGATGCCCGAAAAACCCACAACAACCATTAGGGCCCGGCCGTGAAAGCCTTCGCGAATACAAATTCTTCTAATCGCCTGCTCGTCCACTGCTCTGCCCGCTCTGCTGGCCACCTCAAGCCAGAGGACCCAAACCATCCCGCCCCCCCCCAAGGCTTCCCACCTGGGGCAATCAAAAGCACCGCTCCTCTAATTTAATAGCCCCCTTCATCCCCCCCAGTCTTTGTTCAATAAGATGATTTATGAAAGTGTGTTAAGTAAATATAATAGTTATAAGTAGTAGTCCTAATATTAGTAGTATTAATAGATCAGCATTGCTTTTTGCCCTACTCTCAAATCTGTAAGAGGTGAGAATTACACAGTTTAATTGGAAAGTTACCGAAAGTCCGAGCCTGGACATTATTTACTGTTGTCCAAATCCCGTAGCTAAAATAAAAGCCAAGAAATTCTTGGTCCCAAACCTCTTAAAGTAACAGGCGCACAAACACAAAAGAAATGCAGATGGGGTGGGATAGAGAAGCTTTAGGTATTTGGCAACCCTTTGCAAAATCAACAGGAAAAAATATCCATGCAAGTTTAGACATAAAACTACATGACAGTGGAAGTACTTTAAAGAACACACTTTGTTAGAATTCTAAGGAACAGATTTGTTATTTTATTCAATTTGTGTCCCACTCTTGTCACAGCACCACTCTGGGCAGATTACAACTCGAAAAACATCAAATAAAAATAGAAATATTAAAACCAATTCCATTAACTCTAAAAGAAAGCATCAACACAGATGGCGCCCACTAATCCCAGAGCGGATGAAGGAAAAGAAGGGAGGGAAGGTGAGGAGGGGAAAGCAAAAACACTTTGAGAAATGCAGAGCAGTGCAAGTTTGCACGTCTTGTCCTGGCCCCAGGCCGGACTCCCTCGTCCGTGGGTTCAGTGAATTCGACGGCAAGAAAACGTAAGGAGACACCCGAACCGGAATCTGGCCGGGCAGGGCGCGGGCAGATGAGGCCCGGTCTGGGAAAAAAACACAAAATAAAATAAAAAAAAAACCAGGAGGACCACCTTTCCGGCCCTCAAAAGGGAGAAGTCCGCTTCCGCCACACTCTGGCCACACTCCGGGCGCGGGGCTCGGGCGGCTTCCTCGGGAGGCCGTCCAGCGAAGGAGCGGGGGGGTCCTCCGGCCTTCCGCCTCTGGAGGCGGGGCGGGGCCCGGGGACGGGACGGGGCCGGGGCCTCCCCCGGGAGGGCTCCTCTTCCGGCCCTTTCGGCTGCCTCGTTGGCGCCCTCGAGCCTCCTCGCTGGCTTTTCTCTCTCTCTCGCTCGCGCTCCTCCAAGGTCCTCTCAGGGACCAGGGAAAAGCCAGCAAGGGGGAGGGGCCCATGGTGAAGGGAAGCCCTCAGGCATGAAACCAAGCCCTCAGAATTTGGAGGGAAAACCGCGACTGGGCGGACCGACCGCCGCGCCCCAGGAGGACGGGTTGCCCGGGTTGCCAGGTGGGAAAGGTGGAGGCCGGCCCAGGGCGAGGGCGAGGGTCGGAGCCCTTGAGGGAAGCGCACCTGGAAAGCCAGGCCTGGCCAGCCTCCTCAGGAGCCACCCCCCACCCCCCACCGCGAATCCTCCCCTGCCTTTCCTTCCAGGCAGGCGCCGGCTGGAAGAACATGGAGCTGGAGAGGCTCAGCCTGGAGGGAGCGCCCGAGCCCCTGGTCGGGGAAGAGAGGAGGAGAAGGGAAGAAGAGGGCCGGGCCGGAGGGCCTTGTCCCGGCTGCAGCTGCGAGAACCTTCACCAGACCGTCTCCAAGTGGCTGCTGCCCGAACGGGCCAGGGCCACCTACCTGGAAAGGGCCACCTGCCTGCCGCCGCCCCTCTTCATCCTCGCCGTCAGCGCAGCCGAGGTAGAGCCTCCCCCCCCCAACTCCCGCCCTCTTGAGCTCAATGTACCTCCAAAGCACTTTCCCCCTCTTATTTGTGCTCTTTGTAATTCACAGAGTGTTTCTTCACAGTGCTCCTTTTCTTAAAAGGGTGGTGGAATGTTCCAGCATGTAACTGAACCCTGATGAACATGGTCATTTTCATTGGTTTGATTAAAGAAGAGGAGACACATTTATCCGAAAAGGGGATTCCTCCTCCGTTGTAAACAGAGCTGCCAAGGAGACCTTGAGTTGCTTTCCCATTTGCTGGAAAAAAAGCTCCAGAAGGTTTACCTGGTCAAGGTGGTTTTGAACAGATTGTTGTGCTCTGTTGCTTTGCAGTGTGTTCTTAATATTGATTTTAATTGTCATTTTAATACAATCTTGTTTAGTTCTTTTTATTGTCTTTTTAATTGTGTAAGCCACTTTGGCTCCTTTTAAGGAGAAAGTTGGGGTAAAAAATCTCCCCTGGGTTGTGGGAGGAGTCATCCCCCCACTGGGGCACTGCTAGACCATTTATTAGATTGATGTGCTTCTCTGTGTTGGTTTCTAGCTGTCTGTGTTCATCTATTATGCGGTTTGGAAGCCTCAAACACAGTGGATCACGCTGGACACTGGCATCTGGGAAAGCCCATTTATTTACAGGCCTGACAAGAGGAGGGAAGCCTGGAGGTTCCTGTCCTACATGCTTGTGCATGCTGGGTAAGGTGCTGGTTGCGCTGATATTCAGATGTGCCAGGCAAGCTTTTTAAAATAATACTTTACCTCCTCAGTCACTGTTTTCACTGTGGTTTCACCTCCTGAGGCAGATGTGTCATTCCATCTCCTACAGCAAGGTAGCCATTTTGACTTGGAAAGAGGAACTCGGGGAGCAAGTAGAGGGCATTTGTCCTGTTTCGCACTGTTCCCTTCTGTATTTATTAAGTCATATCAACTACATTAGCCGTAATCAGGACTAGATCCAGTCTCTTGGCATGAATATGCAGTGTAGGCAGGACTTGTCGGTATTTTGTTTGCTTGTTTTTTGGTAGTACTTCCGTTGGCCTTGTTTTGTCTTGCTTTTGGCTTGTCTGATTGACCAACTTGGCCCTTTTGGGCTATTGTTGTCCAGATAGCATCCATGGTGATGCAGAGAATGGGACATGGTGTGGCAGTGAAGCACACTCCTTTTCACTGGTAAGGATTACGGCTCCAATGCAATTTGTAAATTGTGTTTTTAAATAGAAACAGCACTAATTCCAATGCTTTGTGTCCTGTCAATGCAGTGAGAGGCTGGATGCCAGTGAAACTGGTGGGCAATTGTGTGGTGATAATGGCAGAGAAGGGAGAGAGAGTAAAGGGTCTGTCTTGAAACGTAACTTCCCAGGATGATCAAATGTTTCTGTGTGAACCATGGCAGTGATTTAAATGCCAGAATGCAAAGTAGGAAAGTTTGCATCAATCAAAGACAAACTTCAGTGTGATCATGTCCTCAGTGACGTAGGATTACTCAACGCCATGAGCAGCTGGGCCGCTACGGTTTTAATCCCTCATTACACTCATTTTACAAACATGTTGGAGTGGCTCCCTAAGTTTAGAAGTTTAAATGAGATAGAATAACGGCTGAAAACTGAGCCTTAATAAGAGGTGTTTTTCTAGGATATAGGACTGGGTTCTCACCCTGTGAGGATCCTTGCTGTTTGCTGTGCCTGTCTTTTGCTCTCAGCTGTTGACAGATGAAATTCTGCACTGTGTGAATTATATAAATAAATTGGTAGCACTTGCCTTTTCCTTGCACAGATGGTTAACTTGCATGTGTGCTTTGCTGTAATTAATTTAATGCCATGTTGCTTAATTCTGCAAGTACCAGGGTAACCATGAAAATCATGACAGAGGGACAGGGTCTCAGATGCTGTCCTGTCCTGTGCTGGCTTAGTTTCACCCTGGATTTAAGCTGCTGATGTGCCTTTGTTATCTTGCCATTCTCCTGTTCTGAAGTGTGAAGGCAGAAAATAATCATTTGGCCTATGGAGCAATTAGGTGTGGTACATCCTGGCCCTTTTGGTGTCAAGGGAGACAAATACTGTTGCTGATTCCTTTTTTTCCTGTCCCTTCCCTCTGCAGCATTGAACATATCATAGGAAACCTTGTCCTGCAGCTTGTCTTGGGGATTCCTCTCGAACTGGTGCACAAAGGACACAGAGTTGGACTGGTGTACCTGGCTGGTGTGGTTGGAGGTGAGGGGATGCAGGGAGGGCTAGCAGCTGACTTGACATAGGAAATGGAGTGTATGTGTGAGAGACGGTTCACTGAGAAGTTAGACTGAGTGCTAGACTCTGGAGAGTGTGCCCCTTATAGTGCAAGGGTGCCAGTTATCTTTTAAGGTGCTTGGTGTTTCTGAGGACATCAGAATCTTTCTCCAGGGGCTGCAGCCCTCACCTCTCTCTGCCTCATCCCTACCAGGTTCCTTGGCCAGCTCGATCTGTGATCCTCTCCAGGGCCTGGTAGGAGCTTCTGGAGGTGTCTATGCTCTGATTGGTGGATACTTCATGAACATCCTTGTGGTAAGGAAGAAACCTGGAGCCCCAAGACTCTTTGGGGAGACTCACCTATTTCTCTCAAGTGGAGGTATTGAAAAACAAATTGTAGCCTGCCGGCCATTATTCACAAGGGGGTGGCGTTAAGAAAAAGGCCACTAATTGTACCAGAACCCATCTCTTCTACTTTGGGTGCAAAATCTAATCCTAATGCTTGTTGCTTTCTGAAGGCATAGCTAGGCAGTGTTAAACTCACATTTGGAGCATATGTCTAAATAAACACATACAAGGATTACCCGGTCATGCAGTTGGTTTAATGAAGCGGAATACTGGCTTCCGAGTTCTGTGTGCCAAATAGAACCATATATTCCACCCCAGTGATTTCAAAGGTGCATGCGCTGTGGATCTTTTCCCCTCCATTGTTGCTGTTGTCGTCGTCATCTTCTTCTACATAATGCGGATGGGGAAGAGAAAGCAATGGCTTAAATAAGCTTGGTCTGAATGTCCACCTAGCTGGTTTTGATTGTATCTGGAGGTATTTTAGGTTATACTGTATTTGTTTGACTTGATATCTTGCCTTCCCTGATGAAGATGGCGCAAGATATTGTCATCAAAAGCTTGGACTTTTTAACAATAAACATGAATTGACACAACTGGAAACCTGTGAGTTGTTTACCCAAAGTGTTCATTGTGAAAGACTGAGATCTCTAAAGCTTAAACAGCCTTCAGAGAAAACAATGCAAAGCTCCTGATATATGGAAGATTATCAATTTTAGAATCATAGAATAATGAAGTTGGAAGGGCCCTAGGCCATCAAGTCCTGCTCAGTGCAGGAATACAAATCAAAGGATATAATGAAATTGTCACAAAATGTTTTGTGGCTCAGATACATGGAGTGGTGTCAGGAGCTGGCACATAAATGATCAGGAAGAAGAAAAATAACAGCACCAGTGAGGTGAGAAGGAAATGAGATAGAGGAAGTGTTGATCTTTAATTGAGCCAGACATAATTACAGTGATTAATGGCACAGTTTTCCTGGCAAGCACCATGGTGTGAGCGTGTTGATTGACACTCAAAGTGTGGTGATAACCCAAAACCTTAATTGAAACCATGGATGACAGAATTCAACTGGGTTAAGAGTTAATTCAGCAGGTTTGCTGTGCAATTTAACTTCTTTCCCCCCTGTCTCTCTCCTCTTTTCAGAACTTCCAGGAAATGATTCCATTGTTTGGAGCTATCAGATTGTTGCTCATCTTCTTTATAGGTAATTTTCTCCTATATGTCTTCTACTGATCTTATCTTAGTCTGTATGTGAAACATGAACATTTGGCACCACTTCCTCTTCTGTTTTAAGATTAGCAGTTAAGCACACTGGCAGAGGTGGTTCTTTAGCTTGAAAAGATGACTCATGGAGTGTGAAGAACAGCCGGGCATGTGAAGGGCTGGAGAGGAATCCATTAATGTCATTGGAGGCTTCTGCTGTGATGACAGTGGGTTGAATTAGATGACCCTCCTAACCCAAAATTCCAGGTTTAGATTCTAGTTTGCCATTACGTCAGGAGATCCTTTCATCAACCCAGTGGTATCTTAGTTATTTCAAAACTGAGGTACAGATTGCCACATGGTAGGGATCCATGCACTGGCAGCCACCTGTATGGATCACTCTCGTGATGTTCCTGCATGGATCACTCTCATCCTTTCTTGTTCTACCCTTCCCCTGGACAAAAAGGATAGCCATCCATTTTGCAGAGCCCTAGCAAAAGACCTGCATGCCACATGTCTTCACTTATTCTGTGATTTACATCCAACAGTATGTGGGCTCGAGTAGGTTTTTGCAGTTATATATAATTGTTGCTTTGCCTTGTGTAAAGTAGTCTTCAGTAATAAAAGTAGCATATTTAATAATTACAGAAATAAAGTGTTACAAAATTCAGAAACAGCTTCAGAGCACTGGACTAAAAACAGAACAGAATAAAATTTAACAGGGATAAGTGGAAAGCTCTACACCTAGGAAAAAAGGAACCAAATGCCCAGTTACAAGATGGGGGATATTTGGTTCACTAAGATATGACATGCAGAAAGAATCTTGGAATTTTTGTAGACCACAAACTGAATATGAGCCAACAGTGCACTACAGCTCCAAAAAAAGACAAAGGCTATTCTAGGCTGCATTAACAGAAATATAGTCTCCAGGTACCATGAAGTGCTATTTGTCCTTTTCCTACACTGGTTAGGCCCTATCTTGAGTATTGTGTCCAGTTCTGGACACTCCACTCTAAGAAGGATGCCAGCAAACTGGAACAAATTCAGAGGAGAGCAACCAGGATGATCAGGGGACTGGAAACCAAGCCCTAGGAGGAAAGACCATCACACAGAGGAGGGATAAGATCTGTTCTTGATCACCCCCAGCATATAGGACATGTAACAATGGGCTCAAGTTACAGGAAGCCAAATTTCAGTTGATTGTCAGGAGAAATATCCTCAGAGCGGTACAACAATAGAGCCCATGACCTCAGGAGATGGAGACCCTTCCAGTGATGGAAGCATTCAACAGAAAACTAGACCACCATCTGTCAGATAGACCTTGATTTGGATTTTTTTGCACTGAGTAGGGGTTTGGACTTGATGGCCTTAATGTCCATTTTTAACTCTATAATTCTATGGATTTCATCAGAGAAAGTGCCCTGGCCTACTTTGGTCTTCCTTGGCAGTCGGGAGGGAGGTTGCCAATGTACCACATGCCCTGCTTCTGCCCTGGTTGCCAGCTCTAGGGGGAAGCATGCCCTGCAAGGACTTCCCTTGCCTTTTAGGGAAAGTCTGTGAAGGGGGCGGGGGCTCTGAAATGTTTGGACACATGTCCACTTGGGTTCTAACTATTTGCACCAATTTCCTAGTTGGTACAGATGTAGGATTTGCTTTGTACAGACGATTTCTGTCACCTGTGGCCGGGGTGCAGGTAAGTGCACTTTCCCTGTGACAGTATTAGAGCTTGCTGGTTCAGTCCTTCACCAGTTCTTTTCAATAAGATGGGGTTGTCTTATTTCTCCTCCACCAAGACTATCGGTAAATCTTTGTACTTACTAAACATCTGAATACTCTGCCTCTTCTGTCATAACTAGGGCTGCTCCTGCGTGTTTGGGCTACAACTGACATGTGCTGCTCCCTTTCTTCTCTGGCATATTGAGTGAGGCTAGCATGAATGATTGGCCTCCACATTGGAGGACAGCTCAATTGTTTGAAATACTCTTCGGCCTCTGCAGTCAGTCTGTGAGGAGCTCCGAATAGGGGAAAGATTGATGAGGGATACTTTGCATAGTCTGGGTTGTGGGTGGGATGTGTATGACTGAAGAGGGCTTGTGTGATGGCTCCTCAGTTGCAAAGGGTGGTGAGTGGATAGAGGACTGTCACAGTCCCTGTGGGGGGAACTGGGTGAGCTTACTGTCCATCTGAGGGTTAGATTATCCTACACAGGGAAGAACCCAAAGTTGTAACATGTAGGTATAAGAATGCTGTGTTCTTTCCTACCAGCAGAGCACCTGATTTATGGGAAGTGACCCAATTTTGGAGTGATGGCCACTGCAGAGTTTAGCTACGTTACCCATTTCTGTGAGGGGAGGAATGATCTACTGAGGGCTTGGCTTCCAACAGCACTGTTTGTGATCTCTTGGCAGGAATTTCCTGGTAATTTCTGCTACTAAGTGGTGGAGGTTTTTTGAGTTTTCTACTTCATCCTTTTGGGGGGGGGGGACATTTCTGCTACTAAGTGGTGGAGGTTTTTTGGTTTTCTACTTCATCCTTTTGGGGGGGGCATCCTATTTTTCTGGAGGTTCTGTCTTCTTAGTGAGGGCAAACTACAGGCACTCAGGTGCTTTCTTGTGCAATGCCTTCCATAGCTCGCTGTATCCTCTGTGCTGAGCTAATGCCTTCCACCGATGGACTGCACTTGAAAATCAGCTACTCGCTAACTTTTCTCTTGTTAACTTTTGACTGTTAACTTTTGACTGATGCTTCCGCTGCCTTTGATTATTTGCAAAGCTGCTGTTTGAGTCTCTGTTTTGAAACGTGCCTCTGTTAAGTGTTTGTATGTATGTGTTTGTTTTTTCCCATTAAGGTTTCCTTTGTGGCCCACATTGCCGGCGGCCTTGCTGGGATGTCAGTAGGTTATGTAATATTCAGCTCTTTCGATAAGAATTTCATTAAGGATCCTAGATTTTGGATCTGCATAGTGGCTTATTTACTCTTTGTGGGATTTGCTGTATTCTTCAATGTATTCTTCTCACCAGCAAACCAGTAGTTCTTGTTCTCTTACACAGAAACAACGAAAAAAATACAAGAAGCATGTATTTTTAAAGGTATAGATTGCATACAGAGCTTGGTTTTTATAAAGTCTTCATAAAGTTGATTTTGGCTAAGATCTATTGTAGCATGAAATCTGAGAAAATGTTGCATTATTTGAAATGGAAAATATAGCTTTCATACCTTTTACACTTTAATATAAAATAAGAGTTTCTCAGTTGCAGAGTTTGTTAATTTTTTCCAGTCTCTGGATGATGACAGGGCGTGTGCTGCCTTCTTTCATACTTGGTTTCACGTGGGCTCCCATTGCTTGGCTTTGAGCCTAGTTCAGCCTAGTGCCAGGCAAAACACAAATGGTAAGTTCAGTAACAGTATGGCTTTTCTACAGTGTATCAAAAATTGAACTGTTGCAGGTTTCAAGAAAATAACAAACACCACCAAACCACGGTTCCTAAGTCCAAAAATAAAAGAAACATAGAACCAAATAACACACAAAAACCCTGGATGAATAAGGCACCATGGAAACCTTGTGCTTGCTAACAAAAGGGCAACCTTGTGTGGCACTACTACGCAGCATCATGTTGATCATTTGGGGAGAGCCTTGTAAGCAACTCCAGTTAGAAAGGAGATGTCAACATGTTTTGTTTGGAATAAAGCTACACTATTCAAACATTGTTAGCAACATTTTTCTAATGTTGCCCTCTCAGTCAAGTCTTTCCATTGCATTCAAATAAAATTTTTAAAGTAGTGAACAAAATTTTCCAGCAGTTTTCCCTAGATAACCAATTCTGTTCCCATGTGGGTAGCAGAAGAGAGTTGTGAAATATGTAGGATTTTGCGCACAGGGCCACTGCTGGTGTCTACAATAAAAATGCCAACTGTTGAATCCCTTTGGATCACCAGAAAAGCTCCTACAAAGTGTATAAGTGCTTGAAATGAATATATTAATAAATTCAAGAAATATAGGGTGTCTCCATACATGTGTTTATATTGGTGTGGATACCCTTCCATTTAAATATGTTTGTTCATTTTTTTTCAGTGCAGTCTTCTCCCTCGAGAGCGAGCCAGGATGCATGGCTGTGCTCTGTACCTTAACTTCACAGACTGCAATTTTCTAAGTCCTAGGATCAGTACCATAACTACTGTATGCACACTAGCTTAACTTAACCATGAACACTTTCAGTTTATATTAAAATTCTATTCTAAACTAGGAAAACAAATAGCTGAGAGACTGGTGGAAAAGAAGACACTAAAACATGGATGATATTGCTTGGGACAGAATGGCAGTTAACTGTGTAATTGGGTATCACCAATGGATTAGTGGTCAGAGCCAGAAAATGTGCTTTTTCCTGGTGCTCGAAGCTCCAATGACATGGCTGCCTAATTGTCCTCTGCAAGATATTACTAGTCTTTTCTACTTTAAAGGCACGTGTTGGGACAGTGGGCTGGCAGTGATGGTATTACAGACAACCAGGTTCTTTGCTGGTAACTGGTAACTAGCTTGTTGCTTCCATAGATTGTCACTGCTCGTCCAACAATTTCTCTGGACTGCTGACCGAAATGAAAAAAAAGCAAACACATCCACTGGTTTAAGTAACTTCATTGTTTTCTTCCGGATTCCTTATGAGCCTGAATGGGAAGGCCATAAAGTCTCTGTATGGAGGAGCCAGGGAAAGCAACCTGCCCTTCCTTTTTATCTGAGTCCAACTGGCCGGTCTGTGACATTTTTTTATTTATTCGATTTGTATCCCACTCCCAGGAGTATCACAGCACTTTCCTGGGTGGGTTACAACACGTATAATAGAAAATACACAAAAAAAAAAAGATATTAAAACCAATAACATTTTCCAGGTCAAAAAGCGGAAATTTACAACAGAAAAGTACTTTGATGAGCTGTGGCAAAAGGCAGCTCTGCAGGAGATGATGCACAGCCCTGGCGGGCCGGGCCTTATGCATAAGTTGCCCAAGGGCCACGGGACTCCATGAGCCAAGCAGCCTACCCCCCCCGCCCCGCTTCCCCCTTCAGGTGGCAGGGCGTTCCTCGGCTGCCCGAGCCCTGCCGGCCAGGCCCGCCCCTGCTCCGGAAGGGGAGCGGAGCCGCCCGGGGCTGGCCCGGCCTTCCTCCGGGAGCTCGAGGGGGGCGGAGCCTCCAGGAGCGGCGTCTCCCTCCCCGCCTTCGGTCTCCATAGCGACGCGCCGACGCCGCCCCGCCCACAAAAGGCCTGCGTGCGGCGCAGTCCGGCTTCCGGCAGAGGCGAAGGAGGAAGCAAGAGCGCAGGGAGCCGCCAGCGCCCCAGCCGCCCGGGGCTGGCCCGGCCTTCCTCCGGGAGCTCGAGGGGGGCGGAGCCTCCAGGAGCGGCGTCTCCCTCCCCGCCTTCGGTCTCCATAGCGACGCGCCGACGCCGCCCCGCCCACAAAAGGCCTGCGTGCGGCGCAGTCCGGCTTCCGGCAGAGGCGAAGGAGGAAGCAAGAGCGCAGGGAGCCGCCAGCGCCCCAATGGCCAGCAGCTATAAGGTAGGCCCGCGGCGGTCCCCCCGGGGTGGGTGGACAGGTAGGGCGGCCGGCCGAGCGCCAGCCCGCTCGGCCTGCTGACCCGACCCGACCCGGCGGACGTCTCCCTTCCCTCTCTGTCCCTGCAGGCCGCGGACTCCAAGCGGGAGCAGTTCCGCCGTTACCTGGAGAAGTCCGGCGTGATGGACACCCTCACCAAAGGTGAGCCGGGTGGGGGGTCGGCGGGGGCCTCCCTCTCCGGCCGGACCGGGCCCGCGCGTGGCCTCTAGAAGGCCGCCTTTCCCTGCTAAACCGCCGCGCCCTCCGGCAACCTCTCTCCCGCAGTGTTGGTGGCCTTGTACGAGGAGCCCGAGAAGCCCAACTGTGCCCTGG